CTTTTTTGTACCTTTCCTCCGACTCTTCGTCCGTCTCCTGGTAGTCAGGTATTTGCTCATAGGAGCGTTTTCTAGGCGTTGCGGAATGCTCGCTAATGCTCTCTAATGGTTGCCGGGTTATGGCTCGCAGCCTCGCAAAATCAACTGTTTCGTCCCTTCCCTCAAGCTGAAATGGTGAGCTAGGTGCGATCTGCAAGGATTCCACATCCGCGTTGTCTTCTTCCCGATTAGATGACTCGTAGCCAGCGTCATGATCTTCGTCAACCTGAAGTGGTATCGGTACGTCGTCGATCGACTTTGACGGGCTGGAGAAAATGTTTTCCTGCCCATGGGTAAAAGGCGGGCCCGCTTCAACGTCCTCTTTCTCTATCACGTCGTCATAGTTTGAAGAGAGGACGCGAGAGTTCTGGCGCGAGGACGTCCACGGTGATAGAGGTGTGGACATGGCACCAGGAAGAAGTGGTTGATCACAGGTGACAGATAGAGACTTTGGGAGATGAGTAGGTAGAAAAGGCACTACAGTACCCTCAAGCAGAAGAAGAATGAACAATCCCTGATTCGGTGCACTAAGGCAGTGGGTGTCTGTTGATGCTCAATATCAGTCTGAAATCGGCGTTTATTATGATTTTCCGGCCGTTGCCAGGATAAGCGATAAACAAAACTAGTCTAAAAGGGGCGACGTACCACACCGCCTTTACACAGCGGTGTGAGATGGCAATTGATGTACCGAGCCTCACCGCCTTTGCACCCCCTCCCCCTGCAATAATTCGTCCGCTAGTCTATTTAGGAATAGTGTAGCCGCAATTCTGCCGGCAGAATCTCCACATCAGCCAATTCTTTCCTTCATTATCTGTGCAGTATTCAAAGTAAGAAGGCGGTGATCAGTTAGCACGGCACCTGACCAAACGGGGGGGGGGGGTGGCAAACTCATTTCCTCCCGGGTAATAGCCGGCGAGTTTATAGAGTGCTTGGGCACCCATGAGTTCACTCTTCTCAGATGCGATTGAACAGGCAGGAGACCACTATCCATCCTGAGCACAAATGTCGTTCTTATGCCCTTATGATATCATATTGCCAGTAATACTAGAGTATCTATGTACATCACTCCATTTATACCGAAACACCTTGCAAGCACTCGGATGTGAACTTCACAACCTTTTCAGACCGTGCATGTATTCAAGGTACGGCTTAGCCCAATTAATGCCGCAAGTAAGAATCCACACGACACAGGGACATGGGCAGGAGACGCTGATGGTGGAGTGAGCTGCTATAATTCAAGCCGAATTGTGAGTTTCTTCTACCATACGCAAGTTCCTCTCGGTTTGATGGCCGATGTCGGCTTCAGCTTCTGTCACGATGATATGAACAGCTTCTTGCTTCCACGTAGATGCATCTGGTGCATAACGGCAGTGCGCAGCAGGCCGTACAACAACAGAGCTATGCTTCTTCTGCTGGATTAAGCACATTTGCACTGCCCCAATAATGGCGACTAGGGTGCTCCCCCACCACGCGAGGGCGGTACATTGCATCCTGACACCGGTGCTGTATAAGAACCCGGCAATTGGCGGAGCCAAGGTGCGTGAGAGTGCACCCGCAGATGCCGCGAGCCCATTGATCTTGCCCAGAACAGAGCCAGAAGGACTGACTTGTTTGATGAGGATCAGGAGGACTGGATAATCAATAATGGAGAGAACGTTGCGAACAGCCAGACATCCGAAGATACCGGTGAAGATGAAGTCTTGAGGAACATAGATTAAGAACGGGACCATGAAATAAGCAAGAGGGTGCATAATGGTGACGAAGACGAATAGTCGCCACACCCCCAGATAATGAGCCAGAACTGGGAATACAAGGCTCTGGATGAATAACGCAATAAGACCGTCACAAGACATAATCAAACCAACGGACTGAGTCGAAAGGCCGACTCCGCCAGGGAATCGAAGAGCCGGAGTAGTCAATGAATTGACGTCGACTGCCCTCTTATCTTGCAGGAAGATAGGTAGCAGATGATCGTATGTCATCGAGTGATAGGTGAATATCGCCAAAGCGAGAACAAGCATGGTCACCTGCCACGTGAAGACGGCCTTTCGTTGCGAACTCGAGTCTATCGAGCCATCAGAGCGCACATGCCAATCTTGATCCTCGTGGAGATGCACATGATTGAAAGTCCCGTAAGACTCGGCTCGTAAATCAGCTCCTGCAGTTGTACTTGGTCCTGAAGTGGCCAGTAGAGGATGTATGGCAGATGTGCTATCTGGGCCCTCTGCTCCAACTCCATTTCGAGGTTGCATATCAGGGTGTGTCTCCTTCAGTAAAAGCCAGCAAAACATGATGCTGCAAAGAAGCAAAGCAGAGCAGACCAAGTTAGGCAACAAAAAGGGAAATATCCCAAAAAGCCCGTTCTGAGAGAAGAAAGTAGGATAGCCTTCCGCAGGCTTTGCAAGTAAACCTCCAATAGCTGCGAGGATGATGAGCTTGAGGCCTCCCCTGATGTAGACGAGACAGGCTTGAGCTTACCTGGGCCGATGATAGTTCCAATCGACCAGAAGAATGGCATGATAGCATATGCTCGAGCTATGGAAACGGAGTATCAGAAACAATTCCAACACTGCAGATCACTGATATCGTCGAAGTAAACAGGTGCTTACGTTCGTGTTCGGGGTTTTTGACCAACTCGCCGACCATGGTCTGGATGACTCCGATATTTCCGTTGAGTACACCACCTAAAGCTCGACCGAGCAAAGCGACCCAGAAGTTGGTTGCGAATCCAACCATGAGAAGGGATGCCATGGTGCCAAAACAACCTGAAATAAGGACAGGCTTGCGACCGACTCGATCCGACAGGCTTCCCCAAAACATACCCGTAAGAGCCTCACAAAGTGAGAAGGTGGAGACAAGGATACCGGCATAGAAAGACGCATTGTTGTCATCAGCCACATTGAAGTCCTTGACCATGACCCATGAGTACGGGAAGATGGATGTGAGGGCAATAGGCTCTGCGATACGACATATCGCTAATCCATGAGGAGTGACGTTAGTAAGACCGCATGTGATGTGTCTCTATTTCGAGCGGCAAAGACTTTGCATACCTAGAAGGAAAAGCTGAGCAGTGGGAAATTCGTCTTCGGAGGTAGATGTTCTTCTCTGCTGTGTTAATACCATCTTCGGACGAATCAACTAAGACTCTTACGGCAGGCCCTCTGCGAAGCAACGACTCTCAATGAAAAATGACTCGTGATGTGTTGTAGAAGGGTGCTTTTGTGTGCGTTTTCTTTCCCTTTCTTCGCTAATTTATGCTGTCAACAAGTAATGCAAGATCCCTCTAGCGATGTTCTCCTGCATTGATTCTATGGTCGAGCTTCCAATTTCAATTCCAGACTGGATATGGGAGTGGAGACGCGGATGTTAGAATGATTGCCAAGAATTGACCGATTTGTAAAGAGCGATTGTGCAAAGTGATAATTAAAAGACGAATAGCCTAGCGAGAGTGTGCTGAATGGAAGATAGAGAGCTTTGGGGGGAGAGGAGGAGGGAGGGTATGATGGAGGAGATCGTGAAGGGGGAAAGGATAATAGAAAAAGGGAACGTGGTGAAGAGGCGAGGGTTGGCGTAGAGTGGAACCCAACTGATAAATAGCTTACTATGCAGTATAAAAGTATGGATCTGACGAACAGGACTGCAATTTCCCCAAGGCATGCATAAAAGTGCAGTAGTACTGTACCTAGTACTTGGCCACACCGTCGTACAATACTTAGGTTCACCCATGGAACTACCCGGTCTGCCGGCAACCTTGACCTGCCCAACCAGAACAAATATTTGTGCAAATTTCTCAAGCAAAAAATCGTGGTACAGCATTTGTAAGATGCAAGCACATATGCGTACCTATTCATATTCAATAAGTCGCAGGCAGAGTATTCGACAGGACACTTCGAATTAAATTGATCAGCCCTCTTTGGTTTTGTACGGCACTAGGTATCTAAAGAACAGCTTGGAGTATAGTTGCCCCTGGTACAGTTAGACGATCAGCAGGCAAACTCAGGCAGTCCAAATTCTATTCAGCTTGCAGATCTGAGGCCATGCTGACCTGTGGCACATAACTACTCAATGTAAAGTGCATGTACTCATACAAAGTCAGCAAACTTCGCGCAAGTGGCAAAGAAAAGAACCTTCAGTCATGTGGGGTAATGGTCAGAAATGAAAGACCGTGACTGCACCGAATTCTGGAACTCTATTTGACTTGCAACCACTACTCCCTGCTAAATGACACTCGTCAATGACTGGATAGCAACCTCGCCACTGACCCCGAAAGAAGTATACTAGGTAGGCCCGAGCCACGGCGATTGCCCTCTGCTCATTCTAGTACTAGCGCTACTACCGCAAATTATTTATGGCAGGTAATTTAAGGTTAGCCTTGCACCTTCTGGCCCCGCACTTAGAAAGTCCTGTTTAACCAATAATGCTTGTTTGATATTCCCCTCGGTTGACCAACCGTGACCGGATCGGGCCAACATCAAGTGGACAGTCAGCACATTGATGTCCAAGACATTATATACTAAGCTGAACCCGCAGCAGGAATCCTGCATTGTATCTCAATTATATTCAATTCTCCGTTCACGAAAACAATACATGACTGTTGAGAAATGACTGAATTTGCATAACATCATAAAAAGGCTTGAGTCACCGCGGAGGCCTCCAAAAATGTCATGCCCATGCCAAAATGTTTGTGCCAAAACTGAATCATAGTTCGACGTGTAGGTGTCCATTTGGTATGGAACAAATGGTGTTTCAAGCAATCAAAGCAAATATGAATAGTAGTTGAAAGGGGATGACCTTGTCAAGTTTCGAGCCTGGCGGTGACGGCAGCTTTCATAAGAGGATAGAGGGTGGGCCTGGGTAGGTCGAGGTTGACGATGACGCTGTTGTTAGTTGATACAGTTCGCAAAGATGATCTAAGTACACGTAGAAGGCAGTGCCGTCTCCCTCTTGTCCGCCATTGCTGATTGAGGCCCCGTCAGATGAGATCTGAAGGCCGTTCGAATAGAATCAAGGCACACCCATCTCTTCCTGATGAGGAGACATCGGATAAAGCTCCATGGCTAGTGTTTTGTATACGGCAATTTTAGGGAGCCAATATGACGCGAACCGTCGAGTTTTCTGAAGATCCGGTGGCATTATGCTCTGCGTCCGAAGTGGAAATTATGTTTATCTGTTAGAAGCTGCTGGCAAAATGGAACCAGCTAATGACCTGCATTCCCCGATATAGGTATATATGGTCGTCGCTCTCTTGCAGTCTAGGGTGCGTCAGGATCGCCAAAGTCCACGATGCCATCAACAGGCAGAGTGCAGTACATACCTCCAGCCATTTCCCAATCCAGGGCTTCATGATTGCCCAAGCCAGAAGGCTACCCGTTGCAATAATGAAAATGAACACAATGGCCTGGTCTTTTCTGGAATCTCGTTCTACGCGGTGGCAACGATATTAGCGCATCTTTCTAGAGGCGAAGAGGCAAGGTTAAGCCGTACGAAAACATGTTGTGAAGACATCCTCTTCCTTTGCTCCTTTGCAAGTAGGGAGATCATAGTCCAAGCAAAATTTTCGATTACAGTCGTTGCAGCTCAAAGACCGGTAATTCTTAGCTCGCCTATCCAAGAGATCTTTGGCATCGTCGTGACTTCGGAGACGGAAGAGACTGCTCTGTGTAGACACAGAATTCGACTTTTCGGGATCAAGAGGAATTATTGTGCTGTTGGAGAAGCAAGTACACTTGCAGAATGACGCAGGGGCTGAGATCAAAATTATCTGGTTAGCATGTTTTGCTCGATAGGGGGGGACCATGTCGGGCTTAAACCTACAGGAAGCCACTCCAACAGATGCACAGGCGAGAAGTATGAGGCAAATGAGCAGTAGATCGAGACATCTACCATAGAGCTGCATCTTGCTGCTTATCAGGATAGACAGGGTGATTATCCCCTTCTACCATCAGTTGCTGCCTCACGTCTCATGGCTACAGGTCGACAATCGGCTGCTATCGCTTCCCCGATTGTTCCCCGGATCCTTGGCGGCACGTGACATCTAGCACTCAATGCCTGCTCCTTTAGTTTAGTGTACAGTACATGAATAGCAGGAATTTGATCAAGAAGCAATATGTGGCTACGACGTGATACGATTTTCTTCCTGCAATGCCGACCCATGAAGTGCAATTATTATGCATGTTTTGAAATATATATGGGGGTGAAAATATTCTAGGATTTGCCTTTCATGCCCTTGCTCCGATTCTCACGCTGTCTGTGATCTTTGGCGACCTCGCGGCGTCTTCTCTTCCATGCACGGTTGTTGTCTCCCCGATTTTCCCAGAACCATTTGACGAAGTCGGAATCCTCTCTGATTCCTGATGTAGCCCTTGAGACTGGGGTATTCATGTACTCGTCATCGTCTGAATCCAAAGCCTGAGGCTGCTCGTGCTTGTTCCAATTAATGGTTCGATTAACTAACGCCGTGTCAGGTGTTGGGGCCGCACTTCTCAACTCTCGATCCCGTAGATCCCTCTTTGTGAAAGGTGTAAGTGGTGCTGCAGGTTGGGCTTCCGTCGCATCCTCCATTTCAACATCGCCATCCCCTCCGAAAAAGCTGAAAAGTGGCTTCTCCTCTGAAATAGAGTTGATAGCAGATGTGCTAGGCGCGGGCTTTTTGAAAAGAGCCTCCAATGGGTGAACTTCCTGGGTTGGCGCTGCCTGGTCATTATTTCCTGACGGAAGTGATTGAAGCCCTGACGAATGTGACTCGGTCACAGTCTCCTGCTGCGATGACTTCGAATGTTGTTCTTCGGCGATGCCTAAATCTTCTGAACCACTAGACGAGCTAGACGAGCTAGAATCATAGCTCTCAGACTCCTGAGAATCTTCTTCGGACGAGGAGTCTTCTTCGGACGAGCTCGCACCGCTGGAAGAAGTCCAATCCTCTGATTCATCGGTCAGACCTGCTTCTTTAGCGGTTTTTGTTTGTTTCGCTCTAGACTTGCCAGAATCTGTGGTGTTGTCCTTCTTGACAGCTCGTGGCTTCTCTTTAGTTCCTGGAATGCATCCCGGTCTATATTGGTCTGTCCTTATCCGATCACTGACAGGCTCTTTCACAGTTCCACTTTTGTCCATCCAACCCTTGCCTTCAACAAATGTCACTGTGTCCACTGATTCGTCACGCCCAGACCGTAGGAAGCTGGGTTGTTTGACCGTCTTAGAAAACTCATGGACGATTGTCTCATGAGCAGGCCTTTTCTTCTTCGACTGTTTCTCATGCTTCTCATCGGGTGATGATATCCGATTAGGAGGGAGTTTTGTACGGAACAGGCACTCTTCCTTTTCGGTATACTTGGACTTCGCCTGCGATTTGGCTGGCTTTCCCTCCTTTGCATCCTTCGACTTCTTACTCCTCTTCTCTTCTTTACGCCTGTCTTGCTTGGCGTCTGCCGACTCTGTCCAACCTCGCTTCACCTTGCGGTCAGTTGGAAGTTCATATCCTTCGAGTGTCTCTTCCGCCGCCTTCCGCTTCTTAGCCTTCTTATCTGACGGGGATTTTTGGGTAATCTTGTCGAGTGCTTCATCCTCACTTCGTTGCCGTTTCTGAGGACGCGCCGTATCCACCTTAAATTTGCGACCTTTTAAGATTGAGCCATTGAGCTTTTTCTTGACCTTTTCCGCCTCCATTGTCGGCAGTGTCACGTAACCGTAATTGTTTTCCGGGAAGGTTGGGACACAATGAAAGGAAATTTCTGTGGCCAAGGGCCGAATGGCTGGTGGCAGAACGGCGGGGAGAAGCTCTGGGTTGAAAGGAGTGATGTGAAGTCGTTTGGTTTCAGGCGCGGAGTCCGTCATTTGCTGCGTTGAGCACGACCTGATGGGATTTGAAATGAGCGCTTGTGGTGCAGAGGGATCAACAACGCATCGGAATGGCTTCCGTTGTGATAGGCGAAAGTCTGAGAGAGTCGAAGCAGAACTAATCGAAACTGGATAGGTATATAAATAAATAGGCGTGTATAATTTGCGAAAGAGAAATGTGTATCGCCAAAATGTCTACACAGATTATCCTATCACAGCCACATCGAGAAAAGAAAAAATAAGAACGCCGAAATTGATAACTGGTCCAGAGCTTGGGCGATGGATTTTCCGGTCCGCGCAAGCCTGATATGTGGCGCAGTAAATTAGCGGACAATCACACTAGCCACTTGACTTTGTTTGTCTGTGACCTGACTTTGGTTCATGAATAACACATAACATAGTTACCATTCAACACACCAATGCTCATGGTAGCCTCTCAGGTCAATGCCCGACTCCCGTGTATCCTACATATTTTCAATGACGATAGTAAAAAGTAAAAAGAAACCCAAGAACTGTGGTGTTTACCGCCGCAGTTTTTGTACTGTACAGTTTCAGTGTAATTCAGTAGTCAACGGGCCGAACATCATCAGCTTGGTTGAAGTGATCGATTACAACTTAAGTTAGCGGCTACTGTCCGTAGATGCCTATAGTACATAAATTACAGTACATGTTCGATACATAGACTCGTATCATACCGTATCCCGTACTCCGGCATAACCAAATCCGTTCCTCGGCCTTGCTGTCTGACGACTGACTGTCTGACTGACTTGACTAACTAACCACTCACTAACCAAGTTAACTAACCTACTGCTCGCATTCATGATTATTGATCGCTCGGCCGTCTCTTTTCTCTCCTTCTTCCTCTTCCTGCCCCATCTCTCTCCCATTAATGCTCTTCCTAGACCACGACCAGCCAACTCATCTTCTTTGTGGGGATTCATTAACACTTTCACCTTGTTCTTAAGCCTTCAGTTTCCTTTCCCTTCCCCTCCCTCTTTCTCCCCTTATTCGGCCCCAGACTATCTATCGTCCCGCGGTTAGTTAGCTCGAGCCCGCGCTTCTGATCTCATCGCCGCTTCCAGCTTCATCCTCGTCCGCTCACATGGCCACGTTGGGTTTACTCACACTTTGCTTCCACCCTTTTTCAAGCAACTGACACTCCTCTAACCTATGCGCTTTTCGTTCTCCCCTTCAATTTGCCTAGTCTCTTGTGGCTGAACCATCATCATTGTTACTGTACATCGTTTCGATTATCTCTAGTCTCTTTCACTGTTGATTGCCCGCCGGGGAAGTCGCCGCCTCTTTGCTTGCTTATCCGGGATTCTCCAACCGGGCCTTGACCTCCTGCCCGTTGGTACCCAATCGCTTTGCTCTTCTTTTTCCCTTTTATATTCGAGATGGGCAATTCCCAGACGAAAGAAAGCAGACCGTCTCTTACTGCGCCAGGGCGCAGAAGCCATCATCATGGCCCATATGGCGACCGCCACCACGCTGACAGTTCTCGATCGATTCGAGGCAGCGGACCCGATCTATCCATCCTCGGTATCAACACACATTCAGAGCGAGACGTGGCGTCGCTTGAGCATCGGCGAGAAACTAGACAGGAAAGGGAAGCTCGCCGGCTTGAGAAGGAACGGGCGGCCCGCCTCAAAGAACGAGAGCGTAGTATGAAAGAAGAAAATGTTGATGGCGGTTACCTGGTAACGCAAGGTGTATACTCCGGGACCGAAGATTTCAATAAGGCTGTGGTTCGCCAATTAATGGTAAGTCGACGTTAGTCTTTACTTGGCTGTATTATCGAACCTGACTTAAGCTTGCGTAGGTCGAACGACGACTTGCACCCTTTTGGAGAGGTCTCAACGACTTCTCAGACTCATGGACAGAACATCAGCTGATGGCAGCAGCGCGAGGCCTGCCAATTCCCCCTCCGGATCAAATTCCTCCGGAGCTGGAATATAAGAATCCGCCTAAATTTGGAGAAGATGTCCGGGAAGCCTCGGATACACCCACGGTCCAACACTTGATGGTACCTATCACTTCCAGGTCTCAGTCGTACGGCTCGGATGCTTCTCAGTCTTCTACACCAGCTCATTCCCTTCCCTCACCGACCTCTCCTATCGCTTCCGGCACTTCCAGCTCACCTATGTTTCGGACCCGTGCAAAGACATTGGCATCCCTCTCCACGCCTAAGCATGGCATTCAATCCGATGCAATGACTCGAGAAATTCACCTTCCACATGACCCTTTTGTAAATGGACAGCCGATTGAAGCTTATCTATACAAAGCGGCTGCCGAATGTCCCATTTGCTTTCTATATTACCCGCCCTATCTCAACCGGACGAGATGTTGCGACCAACCCATTTGTTCCGAGTGTTTCGTCCAGATCAAACGACCTGACCCCCACCCTCCAGAGCACGGGGAGACAGAACCAAATGCGCAGTCGGCGGCTGACGGTGAGCGCGCGGATAATGAGGACGGCCAATTAGTATCGGAACCAGCAGCGTGTCCGTTTTGCGTTCAGCCTGAATTCGGAGTCACTTATGCACCACCGCCATTTCGTCGAGGACTGGCTTACGCAAGCGACATGGGTTCCCGTCCGAATCTTACATCTCCGCTATCCTCCAGCTCATCGCTTTCTTCTAGCACTACCCCGGTGACGGGCCGTCGTCGCGCGACGTCATTATCTGCTAATGACCCGACTGTGGTCACAACCGATAGGGTTCGGCCTGATTGGGCACAGAAGCTAGCAAACGCCAGAGCACATGCCGCACGACGATCCGCGGCAGCAACTGCTCTCCACACTGCCGCGTATCTCATGCACAACAATGGTTCTGGCACCGACTCGAGGAATTTTGGCCTTGGGAGAAGGAGTGTTATGCGACGGAACGGGGGACCGGAGAGTCAGAACACCTCGCGAACCGGCTCCCCTGCGCTGCAGGCCCTTGCATTCTTGACAGACCGTCGTGCGGCAGGCCAAGAAAACGATCCCGCAGAAGAGGCTTCAAATAGCCTGGCACCACCACGCAGCAGGTCAAGGAGAAATCGTATTGATGATCTGGAGGAAATGATGATGATGGAAGCCATTCGGCTGAGTTTAGCCAGTGAAGAGGAGCGGCGCAAAAAGGAGGAGAAGGAGGCGAAGAAGGAAGCAAAGCGAAGAGAGAAAGAAGCCAAGAAGGCGGAGAAGGTTGCGCGCAAGTCAGGTCCGTCCAATGACAATGCCAGTAATTCCGCCCTGGATGTGGTTGGCGATTCCAGCCTAGGCAGAGTCATCAGCAGCTCTTCCTCGGTTACCGGTGAAGAGCCTCCCTCAACCAGCAAGGGCAAGGAGGTAGATCGTGCGCCACCTCCTGGTCAAACTGCGGTTATCCCCACTGAGGTTGTCTCTAGCCTCGAAAGCGTACAGTCTTCGCCAGCTGCTAACACGACGCCGACCGACCATGCTCTCCACTTGCCAACCTCGTCGCACCCGCGACCGTCACATTTACGCCATGTCTCTAGCGCGTCTTCGTCGTTTTCATCTCTGGTCGAATCGATGAATGAAGGCCATACTGGACTTCACACATCTGCTGATGGTGCGAGCTCCTCCACCGAGCCCTTATTCAACTTCCGCAGTCTGGCCGCTGTGATTGGAGACGAAGACAAAGGCGACGAAGGAACCGAACACGTGGAAGACTCAACACCAAAACCTGATGCATCGAGCGCAGCATCCACTTCCCTTTCTGCTACCGCCAATGATGAAATGGTGAAATCTGAAAAAGTGTTAACTGAGCCGACGCCTGCTTCCTTGGAGGTGCCTAAGAACGAAGAGTTAATCCCGAAGGAGATGGATTCTCGCTCGGCTGAGATGACATCCGCTACAAGAGATGCAGAGACTGCCTCCTAGATTTCAATATGTCACGGGATGAGGCATTTTCGTCTGTTCGACCAGACTGCCTTGCGATGTTGCTCCAACCTACGTCCACTTTTACGGAGGGATAATTTACCACATGTCACTCGTGCGAAGTTGGGGGGAGGGAGGGTCTAGGGAGGGAGAGAGAAATGAATACAACTCTTTATGCTTCTGTCGTTGCTACACTTGACGAAGTCCTGCCTCTCAAGTATGTGCATGGATGGACTGGATCCTTTATAGCTGGCCCGCGTTTCTTTTGTCTCTATATACATACCATTGCATAGATTCGACACCTGTCTTCAATCTTGGTTCCTTTGTCTATTAATCTTCTCTCAAATGGCAACGCTCAATGCCGCTGCCAACACCTTACGGATGTTTGCTTGTGCTTTACTGAAGAAAAGGATTGCGCAAAGTAGGGAACGTGGGCACCCGAGCCAAAATCGAGGACGCACATAATACATGTTTGGATGAATCAAGCTCGCTTTAATTAAATACACTCAAATTCCATGACTGGTGGCCCTGGCAAATGGAGTTTAAGGTCGAAGTGGAGCGGATCCTTTAATAGTCTTGAGACCTTGGAGTTGTTTCAGCCCATACGATAAAGGCTCCACCGGAGAATTATTTAGTGCGTTGTGTGCCAGTTCTGTCATTCATTACCTTCAAAAGGTCAAAAGGCAGTAAGTATTTGGATGACTGACAGGAATGCAGTAAGAAAGGTAGGTAGGTAGGTACATACGTACTGGTAGTCAGGACTGGCCCTCGTACTACCTTAGTTCTTACTGTGCTGTACCTAGATATCAAGTTATAGTCTAATATAACAAAGGACATTCCCACGTGCTCTGATTGGGCTTCTTGACTCGTGTCGGGGAATTTGTCGTGCAGGTAGTACTATGTAGGTAAGATTACGTCCACTCCGCTAAAATTACATAGTACCCAGTAGCTACGATGATGTTACTATGTACATTTCAATACCTACCTAAGATACAGGACACATTGTAAGGTACTTGTTACAACAAGAACCAGAGCAATCAACTCTGCTCCGTCCTACAAAGAACAAACTGGTAGTCATATAGCATCTACCGTGTCAGTCCTGTAGAGTACAGTACATATTTGATGAGTGGTTTATTAGGACTCAAGATAGCAGACAGACAGGTCTCGCGCAAGTCTCCTTCTGCTGCGCCAGACCAGGGTCCATCAAGGATTCCTCGTCTTGCGCTCTGATTTGTCCTACTCAAGTAGTAGTGCCACCGGTTCCGGGCACGGATCTTACACACTGCAGTAGATACATTGTACTGAGTACGGAGTACATGGATGAGTCGAGTACTCATTGTCTGGGTGGACAGGGATGGCTATCACTGATCGACACTGCAATTTTATCAACTGTCAGACCCTCAACTGAGGTTGTTTATCACTTCCGATCCATGATCCCACTACCCACTTCCCACTTCCCACTTCCTCGCTTCCTCGCTTCCATCCGAGTAGTGATTCGATAAGACCGGGCAGAGGGCGCGGAAATTCCTATCAATGGCTGGAATGACCCAAAGGGGTCGAAATGACGCTATCATCCACTAGTCCTTGCGACGGACTGACGCGATCGATAGCTTACAAGAGAGGCTGCTATTCGCTCTCCTTTTCTCGTCTTTTCTGGTTCGTTATGATCGAACATCGAACATGCTTCAAAGTTCAGTCCTGTGCTGTCTGTCTGTGCCTGTGTTGTACCTTGGGTAGCTGGTCAGTCACTTTCGAGTATTCGCCAGTCAATTCTCGAGTCTGCCTTGGATCTTGAATTTCGATTGAAGCAGGCCGGCCATCTGCCTGTTGCCCTTTGTCCTCCCTGCTTGATTTCTGTCTGCGCTGCGCAGCCTGTCAGGACTCAGTGGATCCGTGGTTCAGCTCTGGTGTTTTTTTTTTTCCCCTTTCCCTGTTACGAACTTACTTACCCTTCCGAACTTGCGCGTTCCTGGCTTGAAACCCGGATTCAATCCACTTTTTTATGGTCTCCATCACATTGGTCAATCGCTGAAGAAACAGCCCAGGCAGGAATTGAACCAATTGAGAGATAAAACCCTAACCATTCAGTAGTTTGTTCGAGATGTGATGAAATCATCTCAATGTCTTGTCCTGTCCCCTAAAGATCTGTTCCCCCTCCTTCTGTTCCTTCCACACACTCTCTCTCTCTCTTTTTTTTTCTGGTACTCATCTAATTCTCCGATTCCTCTTTCTTGACAAACACCAAAGTCATACATCCTTAATATTCATACACTTATAGAACCATATATCTTGGATTGTCCAGAGATACCCTTCCTTTGGTCCAACCCACAACACATCCGGTGTGTTCTTGTTATTGTCCTTGATCAAGTTATCGCAGGGACATTCGAACCGAGGCAAAATGGCGATTCTAGACAAAGAAAATCGGTCCCGCGGCCTGCGAGTGCCTTCCTTTGCCAAAAAAGGCTTCAAGCAAAAATCTTCTGAATCTCTGCCTACGAAAGAATCCGCGCCCGTCCAGCAACCTTCCGCAGCTCCTGCTGTGACTCCCCCACGATCCGAATCCATTCCGGCACCTCCGCCGTTAAGATCGCAAGAGCCTGACGAACTCCCTCCTCCCCCCACTGTACAACCCTCTGCTGGCCCAGGGTCTTTGACTGACGGTCGCAGTCAGCGCCCGCCTTACAGCCCGCCGGATGGTCCTCTTCCTCAACCTCCGGTGTTTCGGGCTTACCGGCCGCCTATCCCGCCGCAACCCACCCCGCCGTCCAGCGAAGAAGACCTGGAACCGGGATCTAATCGCCCCAGTGCGGTAGATTCAGTGGATCATTTCATCCCTGACCCCGAACCTGAATCCGAGGCGCCTGTCGATTCTCTCTCCAGTGAAGATGATAGGGGCCCGTGGACACCTCCCGACTACGAGCCGGTGGCTGCGCCTTTGAATAAACTACATTACGCTTGCTACCAGGACCACCGGTCAATGCCTCCAGCTAACAATGCCTGGTATGCGCTGCCCTGCATGACGTGCCAGAAGTTTGATCACGAAGCGCGACACCGGTGTGTTTTCTGCTGTCTGCGCATATGCGGAGGATGCTATCAGGCATTGCAGAAATGCTCTAACCGCTCGTTGGCACAACTGATGAGGTCCCTTCCTCCTCAATGATTATTCCAAATGACGTTCCGTAGTACTGCTCTTGTCACTGCATACGTCAGGCAAGAGTACGGTCGAACCACAAAGTCGTTTCTTGCTTCTTTCGAATATTCTTTCCCTACTTTATATACCTCGATTTTTTCTCATTCTCTTTTCATTTATACATCCGCATGAAATAAGATTCCCCTCGAGTTGCTACTATGTGTTGCGTGTGGTTTGGACAAATGCAGCTCTAATGATGGCGATTAGGGCTTTTTTTCGGGTTCCTGGTTTGTTGACTTTTACAATGGACATGACGGACCAATTTGAAATTGGCGGGTGCAGCCCCAAGATATAATTATAATGCTTATCTATCAAGTACAGGACTGGCAAATGGTAAATTTTTTGTTACGTATAGCACATTCATGCGGCATCAATCGTGATCCTCTTCTGTCACCCCCGGACATCCTTCCATCTCAGCATCCTCGTATCGATACTTACACCAGAAACAGTAGTGATGTTGATCACGTAGATACCGTACTAGTCGGGACAGCTGTTCGCTCGGGTCTAGCGCATTAAACTCATCTAGCTCGGGATCATCTTCTTCAAGTTCTTGCTCGAGAACCATTGATGGCTCCCGTTGCCCCCCGATAGCTTCCTCGTCATCTCGATCCAGGGTCGGATCGTTTTGTCCTGGTAAGCGCGGGTTGGGAAAGAATCCAGAAGAGAGTGATGTTTGAAGCATATGACGCATCTGAAGATTGCGTTCTTTCTCCTCGCGTTCACGGACTAGCCCACGATAGAGGATGTTAATTTGAGAAGTTGGCTTGACCTTCTGCGGCTTGCTTGTTGCAGGTTCGCCGGCCGTGTCATCCTGAGGGGAAACTTCCCTTTCCCCATCAGTCTTTGGTGTTTCGCAAAACTTCCCTTTCGCTGCGCTGGAGGGCGGTTCTTCACCCGTCTCAGCCTCGGTATCCAAGCGCTCAGCAACCTTCTGCGCAGCATGCACCTGCGCCTCCGCTCGGCGCATCTCCCGCTCAAGCCGGACCCGATCGCGATAATCGCCCTCATCCTCTTTCACTTTCTTGGCAACATGCTCGGCTTCCTCGAGAAACTTGCGCTTCCGCTCGCTGTCCAGCCCAATTCCACCCTTATCTTCTTTGATCACCAGATTGAGAGGCTCGGATCGGAGTCGGGCATCGGGTTCATCCGGCCTCGTTCCCTGAGATGATTTGGGCTTTCCTAGGGCCTGTCCAGGTTTGAAGCCCAATTTGGCCATCATCTGAAAGCCCTTGTTGGAAGGGTTCAGCGCACTGGTAGCAAGGGCGGCATCGCGACGTGCTGCTTCGTCCGCAGCGCGTTCCGCTTTTGAAGGGACTCTGGCACGTGCTTCAGCCTGGTTCAAGAACGGCTAGTTAGCGTTTTGGTCTGGATGAATTTTTCAAGTCTAATCTGATACTCACTTCTCGTTGTTGTCGGCGTTTTCTTTGAGTAAAGGTTTCCTTCTGCTGTGGTTCCTCAATTACCATGGACATGTAATCATCTTCCTCCTCATCTGCCTCAGGCATTGCGCGTGCCGGGGGGGGAGTGGGGTTCTCGGCCAGAGAGTAACAGGGACGACAGGGAAGATCGGGAACCAGAAGTAGGCACCGTAGAAGCAGACAGCGTTCAATCAAAAATTGCGCCTCATTTGACTAGAGAAACGCTAGCCACGTCAGACGGAGTAACAAGATCAGTAGAGCAGCCAAGCAGGGAAGATCGACTGCGGGGAAGAGTTGAGCTGATGCGGAGATGCGAATTTTCCTTCTCTCCGGCTTTGGAGGGAGTATTCCTGCTCTAGCTTGATCCACCAGTTGGCTCGCACCTCACCCGTCCCCATCCATCCATTGACATCAGTCACAACTTACCGCTCGGGGTGTACTGTACCTAGTCCGTACATACACTCCCACTACACTTGAACCTAGCTCAGCTGTCGAATCCGCCCCTCTTTGTTGGCACTCTTCAATTGGTCCTCCGAGATCCGGAACATATCGTTTTCTGCGTCAATCACTGCCGAAAAACCTGGGATGACGGCTCACATCTATCATGTGATGATGCAAGGAGAGCCCTTCCTGGATAGGAGGGCGGATCCATCGCATTCCTCGAAGCATGCCTTCAGGGGTCTCGACTCTGGTTGATATGCCATTCAAAAGGGATGCTCTGCTCGCACAGCATGGAAGCACAGCGTAAACACACCTCGGTTCTGCAGCAAGCCATTCGCGGCTGTTCCTTGACATCATCGTCATTATCATGAGACTGCTCCTTCGGACACTGGTCATCTGCCTCATCAATTATGTGGAATGCTTCCAAAGCGTGACCGTTAATCTTGGCTACTCGCAATATCGTGGACAGGTCCTCCCCAATGGCATTGTGCAATGGTTGGGGATACGCTATGCTGCTCCTCCTGTAGGGTCCTTGCGATTTGCTGCGCCCCAAGATCCAGTAACGACGGAAGGAGTTCAGACTGCCTTTCAGGTATTGTTGTGAAACCCTTTTCAGACTGTAGCATACAGTCCTTGTCCTTGAAACGGCGCTGAGATGTCAGGTTTAGCATGGTCCCTTGTGTATACCCACCGATCAGTACCCCATCCCAGCTGGGACATCGGAAGACTGCCTGTTCCTCGATGTGTACGCTCCGAATCGGGCAAGGAATGCATCAAAGCTGCCGGTCTTTGTGTTTATCCAAGGAGGGGGCTTTAACGCAGACTCGAATGCCAACTTCAACGGGACCGGGCTGATTCAGGCGTCCAAGACTGGTATCGTGGTGGTTAACTTCAATTATCGAGTCGGTCCTTATGGGTTCCTTTCAGGGTCCGAGGTACTGAAGGGTGGAAGTACAAACAACGGGCTCAAAGATCAGATCAAAGTCTTGCAGTGGGTTCAGACGCATATCAGAAAAGTAAGATAAAGGTTGCCCAAACGAGCGCGACTTTGTACTGACCTATTACGCCCAAGTTTGGCGGTGATCCTGAACATGTGGTCATTGGAGGGGACAGTGCAGGAGCAGCCTCGATCACTCTTCTTCTCTCGGCCTACGCCGGTGAGGATCAAGGTCTTTTCCATGCTGCTGCTGCGGAATCGCAAAGCTTTGCCACCATGCTGACTGCAACCGAAGCTCAGTTTGCTTACAACAATCTCGTGATCCGCACTGGTTGTGCAAGCGAAGACGACACTCTATCATGTTTGCGCAAGTTGGATGCAGAGACTCTACAGCGGCAAAACATCGGCACCCCCCTTCCCGACGCACAGAAGCCGCCCCTCTACTTCTATGCGCCTACCATTGATGATTACCTAGTCCCTGACTATACGTACCGGCTATTCTCCCTAGGAAAGTTTATCAAAGTCCCTGTTATATTTGGCGATGTGACAAATGAAGGAACAACATTTGTCCCGAAGAGTATATCCAGTGTGGGCGAGGCCGACATATTCATCCAGAGTCAATTCCCAGCAATTCAACTAGACCAGCTCGCAAGGATCAATCACCTGTATCTCAATGAGAACCAGACTATGTCATTTCCTGATGCTGGCGTGTTCTGGCGGCCGACCAGCAACGCATACGGCGAACTGCGCTACAATTGTCCCGGTATCGCCATGTCCACGGCATTCTCAGAAGCGGGGGTCAAGAGCTGGAACTATCACTATGCAGTCCAAGACCCAAGCTCGGAATCCTCCGGGGAAGGTGTTTACCATGTCGTAGAACTGAATGCCATCTGGGGCCCGGAGTATGTGACTGGAACACCACCCGCTTCCTACTTCACCTCCAATGCGCCTATCATTCCTCTAATGCAGGGGTACTGGACTAGCTTCATCAAGAGTTTCGATCCTAACCCCTATCGCTATCCTGATAGTCCAGAATGGGAGACCTGGAGTGGTGATGGCACCAGCGACCGCCGGCTCTTTATTAGGACGGGAGAGACCAAGATGGAAACGGTGCCGCCAGATCAGAAGGCTAGATGCGACTACCTAATCAGTATTGGGATTGCTTTACAACAATGAGTTCTTCCCAATACTCGTGTAGCGTCGTTTTTTTGGACATTTTACTCTGCTTTCTTCCTGCATGTAAATATCTACATCCCTCCTAATCTTAACCCGTCAACCAATATACTTATAGCCGTGGTCTAGCACAGACTACCAGTCAAATTCATAAAATTGTGAAAAACGATATTTTTTCTATCTGCCCAACACCGTCGATAAAATACTGTAGTAGATATAAAAGAAAATGGTGGATATATACATAGATGTGCCAGAGCATACTCCAGGATGTTGGGTGGGACGCAGAGGCGAGACCCCGGCAGCAATCCACCCATCCACGCATCCAAGACCGGCTTGCAAGAGACACATTTGAGGCCAAAACCAGCGAAGGAGAAAGATGCAACCATGTAATGGAGTCGGGGAAAAGAGGCGCCAAGATCGTCGTGATCACCGCTTGCCCTGTCGCATCCTCTTGACTCTCTCATAAGCATTCGCCTCCCTGCCCTCCTCATTCTGCACCTCAGCCACGAGGCGCTTGTACTTGCGTTCGTACTCCGCATCGCGCTCCTTCTTCTCGCGCAGCTTCTCGCGTGCGATGAAGTTGGCGTCCTTGCGGAGCTCGCGCATGGCACCCTTGCGCTCGCGCTTGTATTCCGCCTTGAGACGATTGGCCTCCGCGCGCTCGCGGTCGGGATCATAGTGCTTGTCGGGGTTGAAGGTTTCCTCGAACTTGGGAATCGCAGTCTTGATAGCGAGGGGCCTATGGTTATGGAGGAGTAGGGGCCGACGGGCTTGGCGGGCTTGGGAGAGTTGTGCGGTGATCTTGTCGAGGGTCGACTTGAAAGCATCGAGCACGGAGGAGGGGATGAGGTTCTTGCTGGCTTTACCCTTGCCCTTCGTTGTGATGTCGAGAGCTTGGAAAAGGGAGGAGAGGACTTTCTCTACAGGGGAGAAAATCTCGGTGTAGGCGGACTTGCCAGACCAGATATCGGAGGCGGAGGAAAGAAGGTTGACAAGGGTGTTGATGATGGAGAGCTTGAGTTGCTCGTCATCTTCAGGCGCATCCGCCACGTCCCAGAATCGAAGTCTGCGGGAAGAGATGGGCTTGGAAGAAAGATTCAGTTGGAGAGACGCGGATGGGCTCCGGGAGGGAAAGAATCCCAGAGCGGATGCGTCGGTCTGCTCCTCCGGACTGAGGTGGTAAAGGACGTTCAGTGAGTAGTTGATGAATTCTGGCATGTAGCGCTTCGAGATGGCCTGGTATTGCAGGCAGAGACTGGCTGCGTAGGCGCCCGTTGCAAAGTTGTTAAGGGTGTTGACAGCACCCTGGCCCAAGTACCTGGCAATGCAGAGATGGGCGGGCGTTGCGATGGCATGGAAATGGTCAGAAGTTGGGAAAGTGGTCGCAATTCCAGTTAGGATAAGCAGGTCGCCGGGGCGAAGGTTCAGAGGGCGATCAGTCGCAATCTGGCGCAAGTGGGCTCTGTAAGCCTGGCAAACGCTTTCAGGGTGGCTCTTGGCCATAGAGTGGATATGACGGAGGATGTTCTCCACGATTGAGAAAGGAGGGTGGTCCGATAGCTCAGCCATATATGCGACGTGTTGAACGAGAATGCCAGCAAAGCGGCTGAGCTTCGTCTTGTTGTCGCTATGAAGACGGGGGTGATGCAGGGCTCGAATCCGTTGAATGACGGTTGGGAGATCCTGCATTGGAACATCTTTGATGATCTCTAGGAATTCTTCATGGCTGCCGGGGCAAGGATATGTAAATGCCAGTCCATCGCTGACCTCTTTTGCGCCGTTTGCCGCTGCTGTGGCATTTCCATCGTCGAGTCCAGGAATCGAAAGTCCGTTGATAAGCTCGTCATCTTGCTCATCTTCGTCTTCCTCTTCCTCCGAGCCTTCACCGGATTCCATGTCCTCTTCCTCATCGAAAGACAGACTCACATCTGACCTCGTCTCCACAAGATCGTCATCGATAATGAAATCATCTTCGTCTTCGACCCCAAGCTCAGGACGAGTGATCGTCTCGGTAGGCTGTTGCAAGCCGAAAGCCTTTGCGTCGTCGAAGACTGACTCATCGTCTGATCCTTCGCCGTCCCCATCTTCATCTTCATCTTCCTCCGTCACCTCGGCTTCGGATTCGCTTGACTCCTCGCCACGCATACGTCGAAGTCGCTCTTCTTCAAGAGTCTTCAGGCGCTGAGCCTCCTCCTCGGCCTGTTCCTCGGCAGTCTTGGTACGATCAGTGGGCGCGGACCGCTTGTCGAAGGTTAACTGCTTTAAGCGCTGATCGTACTCTTTTTCGGCATCATCGGGGGTTTTCCCTTGTAATATCGCGGCCCGCTCGGGATTCATTGCCGCTAGATCATCCTTAGGGGGCTCTGGCTTGGCTGGTGGCTTGACGCCCCTCAGCATGTCAAACAGATCGGGAAGTCCCTTGTCGAGCTCTTCTCTGAGGTCATCATCATCTTCTTTGGCCTTTTGCCGTTCGAGCTTGTAGAATTTCGACTTGGCGATAACCTCCTTCATGACCTCGTTTTTCGACTTCTTTCGCTCAGGCTGTTCTTCTCCCTCTTCGTCATCGTAGATCATGTCCGCCAGATCAGCATCGTCGTCATCATCCTCCAACATCCGTTTCCTCTTCCTGGGCAACTCCTCATCATCGTTGTCCTCCTCTGCCCCCAGATCGCCCTCCTGGAAATCATCTAGGTTGACACCCTCTCCGAAGGACAGAGATTCTCCCATGTGAGTAAGCTGAAACTCCTCGTCATCATCCTCAAGATTGAACATAGATTCCTTCCTCAATTTCTTTTGGCTTTGTCTGGCGAATCGCTCGGCCGCTCTCTCCTCCGGCGTCATCGTCGGATCGTCCTCACCGAAACGACGATCGAGAATACCGCCAACTTTGTTGCGCCGGTTCATCTCCTGGAGAAGGGTTTGGCGCCTCTATAAAAAATAGAAACAGACGACAATTAGCGACAATCTCGGAATTCAGCGAGTATGGGGCCGGAACTACCTTCTCTTCACCGTGAGACTTGGTCACACCAGGTCTGGCCTGCCCGGCATTCTTCTTCGGCACATCGCGGGTAGTTACATCAAACTTCGGGCGCGAAGTAGTCTTGATCTCGAACGGATTGAATCGATCGCGGATGGCCTGCAAGGCGTTGTTGCGCTGAATACGGTTCTGCGCGGCAACACCGGACTTTGCATTCTGCTGCTTTTGCTTCTTGGACTGCTGTGGGCCCAGCAATCCTCCATCTCGAAGAGAAGCCTTAAGCTGCTTCAACTGCGACGGCGGCATCGTTGGGGCGTGTAAAGGAGTTGTCGACGTCCGCTCACTGTGATCGGAGGTGGAACTCCGCCGAAATTTTTGGGCCAAACCGGCGCGATTGGGATCCGCCCCGGGGAAAAAAAGACAACTCACCGCCCGCCTTGGCATCTGTTCTGCCGGCACTATTATTTTCCCCGCTTTCCAATGCCCTTCCGACGCGCCGCAGCTCGACCATCTTCAACTTCACCATATCGCAGGATAGAGGTATAGTACAATGGCGGAGCGTATGAGTGATAACTTGCTATGGCTGTGCCTAGGTAAGCTAGTACGCCTTCAAGACGATATCTGGTTGCTGAGCCATTCTAGGTGTCTCACTCTTCTTCGCCGTTCGCGGGATTGTCACAGATCTCCGCCAAGTGCGCGAGTTGACGGAGATTAAGCATGTCGAGGAGAGGGACGATAGGATGATCACTGAGGGCACCGAAGATGGTATGCTCCAAAGTATATGTACCTTGCCATACTCGGAGCTGAATAGAGAACAGCACTCAACCTAGACACTTTACAAAAGCTTTCCGAGAGTACTAGCCATGATCTCCGAGCAGCGTACGATGCACCCCTCCCCGCATAAATATTCCCCACCGACTAAAGAGTCACTCCAGCGCATTGCGCATCATTGCAGAACGATCCACAAAAGGCGAAACTCGGGACTTGCTTCTGCAAGACTTGGTCAGCAGAGACAAAACAAAACGAACCAAGGCGCTGAATGCATTGTACTTTCTTGTTTCTAACCGGGCTCGTATGGCATCCGTCCATACTTCAGAAACCAGATTCCTGCTAACTCAGTGTCAGTATCTCGCACCTCCGTCTGCTCCCGGTTGCAGGATCTCCCTGCTTATACCGCGCTTATCAACTGTCTATGCAATTTCCTGGACGAACACACAGAGGAGACGTCGACGACCGTCTCACCAATTCTCCCGAAGACCAGGCCTTTGGGCGAGAAGAAAGCGCTGAATATACTCAATATGGTCCTACAAGAAAATGTGCCTGCTGCGCTAGAGGCTGGTATCGTCAGTCGTTGGCTGGCCAAGTACCCGTTTCCGTGCGCCACTGGAGAGCAGCCACGGCGTCAAGATGTCGTGATTCTTATGAAAACGTGGTGGTCTGATGATGCCGTGATGAGTGCGATTTTTGGTACTTTATCTTCACACGTGGACGGCGCGAAGCAACTACGCAAGTTTGGCCTCATGGGTAGTATGCTGGAGGAAAATGATCAGGATGACTATGACAGCGATGTATGGATGGTTGATGGTGAAGATACCGCCGGGTCTTGGCGAGTATCCGGCCCACGGATTCAGCAGAGAACCGCCGAGGAACAAGCTGTCAGAAGACGCAGGCGAGAGGCGATGGTGTTGAGCGAAGGAGGCCGTGCTCTGGGCAGTGAGGATATTATACAGATACCTGTGACCGAGTGAGTGATAGTAGACAACAACGCTCATGTGCACAAGGAGTGATGACCGGCAAGGATATTCCTGCATGTTTATTATATTTATGATACCCTTTGAACTTCAAGAGAGAAATGTTGCAAAGCAATTTATGGTACGACATGTCACAGACCCATCCATGCGGTTTTAGAAACATGATCAACCTTCTTCCGGCTACTTTTCATCATTCCAAGGGCCTTTAAGTCCGATAAGGCCCTGTAGAACAGAGCCATCGCTGTCCGTTCATCACAACTACTCCCTTGCTCGCTTTCAAACACCGCATAGAACGCCTGCCATAGGTCATGGACGTTCACTAGAGAGCCAGACTCTAAATACAGTTGATATAGAATAGCCGCTGCCGGCTGATGCGCTGAGACTTTGACCGTCGAACTTCTAGGTGATGAGATGAGGTAGTCGAAGGGACTTGAGAGCGCCCGCTCGACAGCAAAACGCGGTCGCGGAGAGAAGACTTCCTTCAGGGGATTCCTCATATCGAGGAGGAAGATTTCATGCAAGACCAAGTCATTAGGCCTTATCAAAATCTCCTCGAGACGTGCTTCCAAGAGGGCATAGAAGCGATCAATAATGTTCGTAAATTCTGCGTTCTCTTTGGGCAGTTTGACCTTGGCCTTGCTGAGTTTCACCCGCTGTTGCACGACGGTTGTCGCCACGATTGAATGTTGTTTATCATACCCACTTTTGAGTGGTCCAGTTCCTTTATAGACTTGGAGCAGGGCGCCAAAGTCGGCTTGAATTTGCGCAAAATCAGAGCTATCCGTAAGTGTGTCCGGCAAAATCATTGCAAAGAGCTTCATCTGGTCAGAATCGAGCGTTCTGATTGCTCGAAGAATATCCTCGTATGATGCAGAGGTTTGCAGCTCCCCAGCAAGTGCCCGGATTGATAGATCAGAGATACTGCTTTTCTTTACGATGTTGAATTGCTTCAACGCTCGTTGCACCATATCCACGCATTGGAATATGTCGCGCATTTTCTGCTGACCAGATTTTAACCACTGGGCGCTTTGCTCGAGAAGGAAAGCATCATCATCCAATAACTTGCGAACTTGTTCGGCGCAGCCTTCTTCCAATGTATCTTCGCAGTGCCTTATATTGTTTTAGGCCAGGCAACTCAAGACTAGAGGCGAGACACTTACCTTCGAAAAGATGGAAGGTTTCTGAGAGCCTCGCATACTTTGTCTCGTTGTATTGTGGTAGCAGCATCATCCGCAAGGAGCACGCTTAATGGGTTGGCGAAGAAATGTGACATATAAGCATACTAAGAGAGTGAGTCTAGGCCACCGAACATGGAGCATGTGTACAAGAAACTTACCTTAACTGTTCGACTGAAAGCTTCTGGTGTCTGAAAGGAGTCGCTTGACTTCTCAAATAGCACGCTGGTGATGTTGCGACCTAGCCAAAACTTTCCATCCTGTTCTGCTTGTATCCTCCCATAGATGCGATCCACGCAGTTGCTTGCTTCGTGTATCTCGAAATATCGTCCCCGCAACAGGGCAACCGTGGACCGAGGTAGTCTCCCCTCGAAAAGTTCCACGGACGTTGAGATACCAAATATGAGTGTCAATGGAATTCGATCGAGCCAAGAGCTGATGGTGGTGAGTTTTGAATCCTATAACCACCGTACTTCGATACGAAATAGCTCACCTCAAAAGCGACAAGAGGTCTGCCAGAATACCAGGGTCAAATGCTTCACTGTCACGAAATGCTAGAACCAGCTTCTTGACCTCCTTCCTTTTGACATACTCTGCCAATAAGTCAAGGTCATAACCAAGCACTCTTGGGCCCTATGGTCACCATTAGCGCTCATCGTCGGCTGAAGGATAAACTCGCTATACCTCTCGGTCAGTGACAAAGCTCTGATAACCCTCATTTCCCTCCGTATTTGTGATCCCGAAGCGAATTATGTTCTTCAGAGTTGTCTTGAGGTTCGGGGCATCTCCAGACTCCAATACAATCACCCCACCTTCTCCGGTTGTTGTCAGTTGGCCGTTTAGTCTAGTAAGCAGTCGGCCGAGGGACGAGACATTGGAGCCAACCGTGACTAGCGCCGCAGGTATACAGCCATCGTAACTGTATGCTATTAGGGCCTGGCTTCCTTCGGTGGCGGTACACGATCTTACGTTTGGGGTGAGGTCGACCTGACGAAGGACAGGACGTTGGTGAGGACCTCGGAGTCGACATCATCCAGAATTCCCTAAGCCACATCGTTATTATTCTGTCGGTCAAAGCACGGCATTTACTCGCGTACCTTGATTTTTGCTTCTTGAGCAGACCAAAACTGCTGGTATGTGCGGTATCGCAGTTCAATGGACTTTGCCTCTTCATCGCCGTTCAAAAGAGATACAAAAGGACGGGAGTTTGCGGCCTTCGGTACATTCGTTCGTGTGACTTTGCGCCGTTTCGTCGGCCGTTCGCCCGATGATTTGATCTTATCTGCTGGGCGATAAATGTAAACACCCTTTCAGGATTGATTGTCAGCGACGGACTGGGGAGTCCAGGAAGGACAAGTGCTGCGACGGGAGAGGTATGTTCTGTACCTGACTCTGGGAGCCATCTTTCGAGGCGGCCCCCGCGTCCAATTCTAGCAGAACCGCGTCCATTGCGGACTGCCTAGGTGTATCTTCAGCTAGATTGCAAGAGATACTACCTGCAGGAACAAGGAAACAGTAGCGAAGAGAGAGAGGGAGAGGGAGGGGAGGGCGAGACCGATCGAAAGAGGGCGGAATCGAGCCCACATTTGCGCTAAACTAGATCAAGTAAGTATTGGTTTTCCGCCGCGGAGCTTTTGATCTTCCTCCGCGCTTTTCATTCCGCCACTGCTTGTTAACTAATTGCTTCTTTTCCTTCCCCGCCCCCTAACCCACCACCCTACTTTCATCTTTCTGCATTCTCAAACCTACGAACCTCTACTCCGCTCTCCCTCACGCACCTTGCGTCGAGCCTTCTCCGAACCGCACAGTATTTGTCTGATGCGCTAAACGATCGAACCCTATGCTCCGCCAGGCCGTCCGAGGAGCTCGGTGGTATCAACATGTGGCCCGCAGAGAGCCGGGGGCTTTTTCCCTGGTAGCGCCACGTTACCTTCACTATGGCGGGCCTAATGACAAAGTCAACTTCTTCGAAAAAGTAACACCGGGAAGCAAGCAGATCAGGAAAGTCGATCCCGAGGCCGATGACCGCGCCGAACGAGAAGAAGTGGAGGCCGAGTTGGCCAAGTTAGACAAAGAGTTGGAAATTCTGAAGGAGGGTCCGTTCGGTCCCAACAGCCAATTTATTCGCGAGCTGCCGGAGAAGGAGCGAGCGATTGCACTCGAAGTTATCCGAAAACATGAGGCCGAGAAGGGCCCTTCCAAACCCCAACCTTGGCTCGATGAAGTTTTTGATGAGGGGTTTGACGACATGCTGAAGGAGGAATTTCAGGGTATGGTCGATGAGGAAGAAAATTGGTACTTGAAACCTGATGACAAGGGATCCCATGCAAAGGTCATTCGGAAATCCTACGAGATCATACCCGATGAAACAGAACATCGCCCCTACATTGAAAGGTTCAATCAAACTCTGAAGTCTGTCGCGAAAGGAAAGCAAGATGAGCGAGGAGCACAGGAAGTATGGAAGTGGTATCGTCGCTGCAAACGCATTGTCCCCGGCTTCTTGAAATCGATACCGGAAGAAGCCTGGACGCTATTGTGGGATTCGCAAGCCCACCAAAGCTTATCGGGGTCCCAGGTCGCGACGCACATCCAGATCCTTGCCGAAGATGCCGTCTCTATTGGCTTTCCTCTTTCGACACGACGAATCATCTCGTTTATTGAAGCACTTCATGTCACAGGGAAAACAGGAGATGCCTTGGGACAGTGGGAAGCCCACCAGACCGGGCTTTGTCAGACGAAAGAAGACCTGGAGGCGTATTGGACGTTGGGAGTACAGCTGTTCGCAGCGGAAGGCAACCCTCAGCGAGCACAAGATATTGCCCTCGCATTCCTGGCAAATGATACATCCCGTCAGCCTCGGATCCTCATTCCTATCATCACAGCATGGGCCGAAAAGCCGGGGAAAGAGGCAGAGGCCAAGGCGTGGGCGTTGTATCTTCAACTCAAAGCCTTCCGCGATCACCAAATGACGATGAACGACTACGACTCCGTCAGCATCGGTCTGCTCAAAGCTGGCAGGCTGGGCCTGGCCATAGCCGTTTTCAAAGATATGATGGTGACCGGGCGTGATCCGGCGAACGACTCAACCGCACTTTATAAGGCGGCCCTTGGCCTGGTTGGCAGTCTCCAAGCGTCGAGCGTCTCGGTGGAAGAGGTGAACAGGGTGTCATTATCGACCTTGACTCTTTTGCCCCGACGATTCCAGAATCGATTTTTCTACGCCAGTTGGATGAAGAAGCTTATAGGGATGGGTGAGGTGGACTCTGCAGCGCTCGTGGTTGAGTTGATGTACGAAAGAGGCATCCATCCGGATCCCAAACATCTCAACGGTCTTGTTGCTGCTTGGCTGCGGGACGGTGATGCCGCATCACGGGAGAAAGCCGAACGCCTGGGATGGGCGATGGTCCAGCGACGAATTGACTCGGCTTGGGCACGAACCAATGCCGGAGGGGAAGCACCCAAGGTCGATGTCGATCAGGACATGGATAGTGCTCGCATACCGAAGTTCATGCAGCGTCCTATGCCTAGTGCTACTATTGAGACCTTTTCGATCCTTCTTCTTCACTACACTCGAAGGAGCGACGAAGACATGGTCAGATACCTGATCAAATGCCTAGGAGATGCGCGCCTTCAGCCCAATTCGTACTTCATGAACCACCTTCTCTACGCGGAGCTTCGCAAACAAGACATACAGGCCCTGTGGCAGAAATACCAAACGTTGTGCACCGTGACACGACCGGACCTCGAGACTTTCGCCTGCTTATGGGATTGCGGCAAGCTACAGTACGACCATAGCCGGACCGCCTTTGTGGCCGGCTTTCCCAGCGCCCGCATTCTCTTCTCGGAGATGGTACGGTGGTTCGCTCAGCTCCCGGCCCGCGGTCAATCACTCGCACGGGAAGAATTCTCCAAGGAGTTATACGACCAGATCATCCGTTGCTTCTGCCTATCCAAGGACCTCCCGGGCACGCTCGTCGCTCTCCAGGCGATGCGCGCCACATTCGGCTTCGCTCCGGACGCAACCACCGCCCGGATCATCGTTCTTCAGGTGGCCCGCATGGCCGGCGTCCCGGCTGACACACCCAAACGTCGTCTCCGTCGCCTTTCCAGCACTCCCAGAAGCAAGGAGAATGTCGCGCATGTGCAGACACTGGTGCAGCTCCTGAATAACCGTAAGACGGCCGCGCTTGAGGCCCGGGGTCAAACGTTGCAGGGGCTCGAACCGGTCGAACAAGAGCAGTACCAGCTGGAGATCATGGTCGAGCTGCTGCGTGTGGTGATGAACCGAATCTCCAACGACCCGGGTCGCGTTGAATCGCAAATCGCGTCGGTAGCGGATGAGATGGCAGTATCCGGAATTGATCTGGGGTCGGCAATGGAGGACGATAGCCAATTGTTGTGAAAGTTGTCCGCAAAGCGTGTGTACCCGCGAAATTTGGCGCCTACCTTGGAATATGGCTTGCAGCGTTAGGTGTAGATGGCGTTTTGGGGGAGGATCTTATCGGTCTCGTTTCGTGTATATATCAAATGGTTCTAGTATGATGTAAAACGGATGAACATTTCCTCTCTTGGGGCTGGTGTATCATGAAGTAACAAAAAAATCTTTTCTTCCCACTCAATGGGAAATATAGCATAGCGCGACCAATGGACCTCGAGTAGAAGTCAAATCGGGACATAACCTTGTTCAAGAACAGCATTTAACATCACAACACCGGGGAAAAACAAAGTCGAAAAGACCACACTGAATGCACCCCAAACCCATAGAAACACATTGGACCTCGCCTACTTCTTTCCTTGCTCATCCGCCTCGACCAAAACCCCATCATCATCACTGCTTCCCGCCACGGAAGGCGGCGCCCCAGACGACGAGTCGGGGGTCTTGATCGCAGGCGTGGACGAATTCGGCGTGGCGGCACCACTCGTCGCGGTCGGAGTCGTAGGGGTAGCGGCAGCGGCAGCGGCAGCGGAAGCGGCGGGGGCAGAGGACTCGGATTGTTTCCTCGAGGGGGTCGCATTCGCAGCCTCAGCATCCAGCTCTTTCATAAACTCCTCCTGCGTGTTCGCCTTCTTCTTCTCCCACCACTTGCGCTCCTCCTCCAGCTTCGCCTGCTCCCTCTCCATGCGTTCCCGATAGAGATCATTATTCAGCATCTCGTTGGCCGACTGAAAGATCGTCTGACCCCAGCCGGGCACGTACGCATTCGCCTAGTTTCCGAACGTGTCAACCCCAACTCTCCGGTCATTGACAGAATACAACAAGAACAAAACGAAAGACAGAGTTGAGAAAAAAAGAGAAGAACAAACCTCAGCAACAACATCCCGCACCTCCTCCTCCATCTCCTTTTCCGCGCGGGTGAACCGTTGCCAGAGATCATCCCCCACACTGCCGCGCTGCAACAGCATGGCCAGGGCCTGCTTCTGCGACCTCAATTGCATGACGCGCTTGATGTCCTCGATCGCGCGGCGCAGCAACGCCGCCTTGAGTACCGACTCCGGCACCGCGGGGCTCTTTTTCTCCTTGCTGCCGCTGTCCTTCGGGGGGTCGAGGTGGAGCAGGTTAAAATAGATGTCGCGTTGCACGTGGGCGGGGAACCATGGCTCCAGGGAGAACGCCTTGGCTGTTGGCGGGTTGGCAGTCAGTCAGTCAAGGTTCGCGCGTGTGTGTAAGCTAAAGCGCTCTCGCGGTGGTAAAATGTCTAAGAAGGGAGCTGGGTGGTGGTGGGTTGGAGGGCTAGGGAGGAGATGCACGATGAACGTCAGTCAATACGTACTGGCTTTGCGCTTGCGGTAGAGAGAGGAAAATGTCGCGAGAGAGCCAAGGAGAACGCCCAGGTAGGCGAACGGCACGGCGAGGGAGAGCCAGTCCACCATCTTGAAGGATATGTGGTGTGTAATCTTGGTAAACAACAGGAATAAGTGGGTGTGGTTTTGAGGCCAAGCGGAAGCAGAAGGCGGAATGGCTCAATGACAAAGGCCAGGCTGGTGTCTTGGCCGTGTCACATGTCTGGACCCTTTATCGATAAGCGATAGTTGCTACTCCTGTCAACCAGTTGACCACAGCATTTTTATCTACAGTACATATCCAATAATGCTACTGAGTATGACAGCACGAATACCTTCCAGAGATATTACAGCTGTACTACTACTTAAGGAGTCTGATCAAGCAAACCAATAAAAGAAGCCTGCCCCGCCCGGTATAATGGAATCAATCAATGCGGAACCCCATAACCAAGCCAGGTATGATCCAGCCATGCATGCAAAGGAAACAAAAGCTTATAAACCACTGAAAAGCTGACGGCGTCATCTGCCATACAGCCTATTACATAAATCCATTGTCACTTCAAAGAGGTATCCCTAGAACCAAACCGCGCATGAGACGAAACTAATTTAGAAGAAACGAGAAATAAATAGTGTAGCCAGCCGGTCCTGAGAATAGGGCCTACGAGTGATACGCAGACTCGCCCAAGAGTTCTTTCGTCTTCTGGCTGATGGGCCCAATCTCTTGCATAGCCAACATGTCTTCTAGAACGTCGTTGAACGTGTCGCGAATGCCAGCAGCTACTCGGCTGCGATTCCATTCCCCGCGCGATTGCCAGAGATAATCCATCAGATTCGTGCTGATTTGTTCCAACTGCTCCACGCTGCAGCCGCTCGTCCGCTGCGTCAGCTGATTGTGCAAACTCTGAACGTACTCCTGATCCAAAATCAACTTGGGTGAAAGGTCTTCATTATTCAGCAAAGATTGCAAATTTGCCGGCACATGAGCAGAGTGCTTGCCAGCGGGCTCGAACAGAGGAACTGGAGGCTGGGCGCGTTGTTGAGATGCCCCTCCGTTGTCAATATGTACCAAATCAGCATACCCGCCCTGGAGGCGTGGTGAAGGCTGGCTGCTGTCTCCTTGCTGTGTGTCTGGCAGGTGTTCTTCCTGGGACACACGATCGGGGTACTGTGTGAGATCCGGGAACTCATGTCGGATTCCGTGAGCAGTTACGGGACTATGCAAGTGGTTTTGCGGGACCGACGATTGCTCCGATGACTTTTTGTCAGACGTTGTCTGCGTGGTAGAAGCCTCATTGGTGTAGTCATGGGGCTGAGATCCAGGCGCTAAGGGGGTAACGGGCCCTTTCTGAGAAAAGCTGGAGATGCCGGATTCACGTCGGACCTGCTGTGAAGGTGCCGTATGGGAATATGGTGGCTTTGGCTGTGCAAAGGGCCCGAATGAACTGGTTTGTGTGTCGCGCCCAGTCGACTGATCCGAGGTTGTCATGTATGTATCCCCATCGCCATCGGCCTGATAGTCGTGGGAGCCGTTACTTGTGACTGCTTGCGTGCTAAGGTCGTTCAGATCCGAGCCACCACCGTGGTGAAAGCCGTTTGTGAAGCTCACTGTCGATGGCCGTGTAGGCGTTACCGGCCTTTCCGTGTCTTTGGGCCCGAGGTCAGGGAACGATCCGCCAAGAACAACGGGACCACTTGATGGACCAGACTCGGTATTTCCGTGTGGAACCAAGTTAGCAGTCAGCCGTCCGACAAAGCCCCCTTCGTCTTCCTCTGCTGCTTTTCGAGCCTTTTCCAGCGCAATCTTCTCTCTCTCCAGCTCGCGGACATAGACACCCTCGCACTCGGCAACAAGGGCCGGTTCAGCCTGCTCGATGGTAGCGATGTCAACCTCGACATTGGACAAGAGCTCATTGGCCCTGAGCAGCCTCTCTTGTTCACCCAACTGCCGCGCATCCTTCGCCAACCGTTTGATATCCGCCAAAAAGTCCTTCGGTCGTTTGTAGTACCCATTGGAAAGTCGTTTCTCGATAGTCACGATCTCCAAGTTGTAGAAGAATTTGCCCGAGACTGTTTCACGTAGTCCGGGAACGCCGTGCTTGTCGATCGCCTTCTCGAAAGGTCGGAAGGTAGTCCGGTGTTCGATTGGCAAATCACTGGTAACAATGCTCGGGTTTTCTTCCTCCCATAGGTACCGGATCTGAGACTCGTCGATCACGCCCGTTCTGAATCTCTTGTATTTCTTGATTTGATCCATGATAGGCTGAATCCGGATCTTCAGGAGATTGAGCGTCTGGTAGTCTTTCTTCTTCTGAGCCTTGAGCTGTTCCTTGCTTGGCGGGGTGGCAGCCTTAGGCGGCGGTGGAGGCGCGATCTCCAACGTTTCAAGCTCCCGGCGCTTGCGGTTCTCGGGATCGGGGAAGTGGGCTGGAGACGTCTTGATGTAGTCGATTACCTTGGTAAAATACTCATAACGTGCATCATTGCCTGGCGCCTTGAGGTCAAAGAAATTCTTCTTGGAGTACCCGAACAGGTTTCTCATCAGTCCATTGTCCAATTCCTCGCTATTCGACTCTTGAACGCCCAATAGCAACACCGGATCTGTGGGAGGAACCGATCGAAGTAGCCCCAAGAAAGTGGCAATCACAGCCTGCCCGACAGTTTCCGACCAAGTGTGAATGTTGGGAATATAGATCACGCTGGGCTTATGCCTCTTCACTTCAGCAAAAAGCTGTATGATGGCAGCCTCGGGAGATCGAGTGGAATCGCTGAGAAGGGTTGGAAGGTCAAATGCCTGGACGTGCAGACCTTCGAAGTGGTGCAGAAGGGCCCCCGCCATATACTGCTGGCCCATACCCAGCGGACCGCGAAGTAGCAGTCTAGGCCTAAAGACTCGCGACCTGTCGAACTCTTGCTGCATTTGTTCGCGCTGGAAGCCACCGCCAACGGGCTCCTCAAATTGTGCCTCTTCCAACGCGGTGAGCCGTTTTCTCTGCGGTAGAATCTCAGACACCAGGCTCTCGATTTCAGCAAGCGGTGCACGCAGTAAAGGTTCAACCGACTTAGGCAATGGCGATGCGCCGGAGGACGTCGATCGCTCTGACGAGGGAATCATCTTCTTGATTGCTAACATGAAGTCTTTCGGTGTGACATCGATAGTTTTCGGGTCGATAACAAGTTTCTGGTTAGACTTGTAGATTTGGGGGTACCGTCTCTGCACCGCATTTAAGGCGGCTTCCGTACAAAGAGCTCGTAAATCAGCTCCTCCATAACCCTTGGTAATCTCTGCAAGCTCGTCCTTGATATAATCTGGGAGCGGCGGTTCCCAGCCTTTTGTGTGAATATCCAGAATGGAACGTCGCCCGTCTTTGTTGGGCAGAGGGAAGTAAAATTCGCGATCAAATCGACCAGGGCGGCGAAGCGCAGGGTCAATTGAGTCCGGTCGATTTGTAGCTCCGATGACAATCACTTGACCACGACCATCCATTCCATCCATTAACGCCAACAGAGTGGAGACAATTGAGGCATGGATTTGTTCCTGTTTGCTTGACCGAACAGGTGCCAGACCTAAATAAGAGGTCGGTCAGACCATGAAGCTATACGGCTGCGTCGGAGGGAAAAGCAATCTGACTTACCATCGATCTCATCGAAGAAGATAATACTGGGTTGTGTCTTGCGAGCCTCCTCAAAGAGAAGCCGAAGCTGACGTTCTGCTTCACCCACCCATTTACTCAAGGCATCGGCTCCCTTTCTCATGTAGAAAGTGACCTTGCGACCATTCGAGCTGACACTGTTAGCGAGAGCTCTTGCCAACAGGGTTTTTCCCGTGCCGGGAGGTCCATGGAAAAGGACACCCCGAGGGGGCACGATGTGGAAACGCTGAAATATCTCCGGGTACATCAGTGGCAGAGAGACCATCTCTTTCAACTGGTCGATGTGTCCTTGTAAACCTCCTACACTATCAAAGTTGACGTTCACATCCACCCCCAGTGGATCCGCATCGGCCAGGGCCTGTTTGTCTTTGACCTTTCCGAGATGCGCAGGGGTGCCCGAGAGGCCCTGCGCGGCGTCATTGCCATGAGTTTGACCGACAAGGCCAGCTCCGGGAAGTCCAGGTGCCGAAAACGACCCACTGGCCCCGGTCTTAGGATGCTGCATAACTTCATCATCACTGCTATCGCTCTCCGCACCCCCCGCTGCAGCAGGTGCTCCCGGAGGACCCAAGATCGCAGATGGCCCGCCACCTCCGAAAGGCCCGTAAGTGGGAAACAGGGTACGCTGCCAACTGCTACCACCCCCTCCGCGGCCCCGACGCGAAGGCGATTCATTGATTTCGTTCTCAGCTTCTTCGATGGGCAGGATGAGATCCGGGCGAATGATACGGTAGTCCACATCTTTCCGACTGCGTCGGGGTTTCTCGTAGACAATCTCAGGTTGTACTCGACGGCGAGACCGACTTCCTCGCAGGTCTTCCAATTCTTCGGCTAGCTCCTCCGCAATATCAGCTCCTCCCTCCGACTGACCACGTGATCGAGATGCCCTTTTGCGCAAGCCAGGACGACGACCAGTAGCGCTGTAGTCGTCATCATCATCATCGCGAGCTTGGCTGGCTTTGTGCGGAGAAGCGTTCGACTTGCCAGAGTGAGAGACCTCATCGTCGTCGTTTGAATCTTCTTCAGGCTCGAAGTCGCTTTCCTCCTCCCGACGTTTGCGTTGAAAGTGGTTGGGTTTCTTGCGACTAGATCGACGTGGTTCCTCCTCTTGGTCTTCCTGGGGCTGGTCGGCTTCATCTTCCGCTGGCTGGCCCCGATTTGGCCTCAATCTCCTTCTGGTGACTGGCCCTTCCTCATCGTCTTCGTCGTTTCCATCCTCCTCAACGCCAGCCTTTGCATCGCCATTCTCGGATTCAGGAACGAAACCTTCATCCTCACCTTCTCCATCGTCGTCATTCTGGGTGGGGTTTGGTACAGCTCCCTCGAAACTGACTTGAACATCGCTCTCCAAGATCTCAAGCTGCGAGCCTTTGATTTCGTTGGTCGTCTCGTCAATGACCTCCTCTTCCTCCTGCTTCGTCTGAGATTCACCTTCCTCTTCCTCGTCTAGCACAGGTATGCGTTTCGATGCCCTGGAACCCCGTCGAAGCCTACTTTCCATCTCCGGACTCTGTGTTCCTCGCTCGACAGTCTCCATGTGACGACCTGAGTTGGTAAGGGCATAGATATCCTCCGACGGATCTCGCGTACGTCTCGTCACCCGGCGAGTCCCTTGGAAATTGTCCAGTGGCGCCTGCGCTTGTCGTTTGAGTGCGTTACCGACCTTCAGCTTGACAACCGTACTTTTGCGCTTCTTCGGGGAAGTTTGTACATCAGCTTCATCGTCGTTTGGGGTGTCATCTTCGATACTGCTGGTATCGCCTTCGTTATAGACCGGTCGGTTGGTGGCAGCTCGTCTAGCAACTAGGCCTCTGGCATTCCGTTGGGCATTTTCGTCATCCTCTTCCTCCGACTCTTCAAAAGAAACCTCGTCCTCACTGAAGATATCGTCGTCGTCAGAGATAATGTCATCGTCCGAACCGCGACGGGCTCGTTTCTTTGCAGGCTTGGATTTCTTCTTCGACTTCGACCGAGAGACGGAGCGTCGAGCCGACCGCACCGGATGATCACTGTAGTCGTCATCATCCGAGTCCGACCTGTTGGCCATCTCCTCGATGGAGCGTTTGGCACGAGGCATGATGATATGTTCGGTGGTGTTTCTTGTTGAAGGGGTTGGTGTGTCAGTGCGCCCGATGCTTTAGCGGAGAGGTAGTGAAATGGTCGCGTTGGAGGTAACACTCACTCAGCACAGAATGGCTGTTTGTGCGTTTCAGTCAAGCCAATTGATTCAATGGGTTGTGCAGCGGACAATAAACCCAGACAAAACACCTCAAATTCAATGAGAGGGGAAAGACTGCGAGCTCAAGGAACAGCACCAACCAGCAATTGTCCTTGCGCTCACCAAACAGCAAGCATTGACTATTAGCGGCTGCTAAGTCAAGAGGAAATCGATAGAGCCCCGTTTTGCGCCCGCGAGGACCGAGGCAGGTCGTATATAAAACGCGCGGTGCAACGGTGACAGCAACGCGCGAGGTGTACCAGTCCCGGCAAGAGACAAAAGAATGGAGCAAGAAAAGATGCGAGACACCCCAGAGGTCAAGACGCGTCGCATGCAGTCGCTAGGCGGAGCTGGGAGAGGTTGAGCGAACCCAGAGGTCGATGGACAGGGAAAGAAAACAGAATCAAAGGAATGGAAGAACTGAGACGAAAAGGATTCGAGTAAGATCTTTCAGGAAAAAGAAGAAACAAGGCAAGTTACTCCGTACCAGGAACGATACCGATCGACAGCATGACGAGAAACAACAGCAGGAGGAAAGGAAATCAATGAGGAGTGCCGGGTTGAAGTAACCGGGGGGGTGGGGGGGAAGGGTGTATATGGGTGTGGGCGGATAGACAAGAGAGACAAGAGAGACAGACAGACAGACGGGCGAAGATCGAAGGGCGCGGCGGCGGCAGCAAGCATAGCAAGGCAAGACTTGCCTAGCCGTGCCCAGCCACAGCTGTTCAGCTACCTGCGCCACAGTTAGGCGCCATCGCTAGTCCTTATTTAGGTCTAGTCTCTGACCAGAGCCGTCTGGGCACGTGCCATCCTCCCGGTCCGCGGTGTGCCAGAGGCCCAGTCACGGTCTGGCGGACCCCAAAAGCGGGCTTTGCAAACCCACCCCTCAAAAATCAACAACAAACCCGCCTTTTGGCTTCTTCAGACAGCCATCTTCCCCCCCTGCCAACCCACCCAATTCACCCCGAAAAGGCTTGCATGATCTCGTAGATACCGCAGTAGGAATGATGCAGATGGTTTGAGCGTGTTTTCGACGCGATTTTGCCGAATTTCCCGAGACCTCTGGCCGGCCCCTTCGGACACGTAGAGAGGAGAAACCGAGAAAAAGAGAAGAGAGCTTCACCGATCAGGAACGAGCTTTTGCTTTCCTCCCAGGCCCGCAAAGCTTATCGCTTTTTGACTCTTCCCCGCCTGTTCGCCCTCGCCTAATTGCCGCCGGGTCCCGTCCCCTGCGCCTGATTCGGTCCCCGTTGCCGCCCTTCGCTTGATATCATGTGACTGCTGAGTCAGTCCGGTTGTTGGGGAAGATTCTTGGTGGACTGGACTTGGACTAGCCCCATTCGGAACATCATCCTCACTTCCCGCGCTGTTCGAGGTGTTCGAGGCGTATCCACCCCCAATTTTGCAAGTTACACTCAATTCGAACTGGTCTCTTTCAATCTGATCACCCTTCTCTGAACCACCTGTAAACATGTCCATCAATTCTCTCTTCGCCGGCGCTCTTCGCGGCGCAGTACGAGGCCCTACCATCGCCTCCGTCACCCAAAGAACCTTTACCACTAGCCGCACCAGATTGAATGCACCAAATGACGCATCGTCTAGTGCCTACAGAGACGGCGTAAGCGACCACTAGAGGCTAACCATCTTCCTCTCTTCATCCACGTCTTCTCCCTGGCGTTGCTTACGGAATCGTAGATGGCCCGGTACAAACTCTTCATCAGCCCCTTTGCCAAAGTCTTCCTTGGCGCCGTCTTCACCTTCCAGGTTCTCCATTGGACGTGGTTGAAGCTTGAGATGGACGAATCGAAGTATGAGAAGAATCGTAAGTTCAGACCCCGGCTCCGCCGTGATGTTTTTGTATCGCTTTTATTTCTGTATGGTCGACCTTGATATTCTGACTAGCAGTAGAGGAAGTCGCTGCTCTGGAGGAAAAGGCTCGGGAATTGACAGGCACGCAGAAAAAGTTGTAAATGCTCGCGCATGCTTGAGTAAGGGTCATGACTGAATCTACTGGAAAGTTCATGACCTCGTGTTCCTTGCTATCGATTGTACTCTATCCACTCGCATCTGTCATTCTATATACCCCATGAATCAAATATCGCTTCCTACATGGAAATGGTTGAAGAAATAAATGTGTCTAGTACTCGTATCTCTGCATTCCTTGATTGATAGGGGTAATTGAGGTCAAAAAGTACACGTTCGTCGTATAAAATGCTGCACATAATTTGGAAAACAGAAGAAAGACCCGCGGACACTTATACATCACGTCACATAGCACATAACTCGCCTGGTATCGGGGTAAATATTCACATGAGTTCAACTTCACTTGGCGCATAGCATTTCACTCTGCTCACATGCTTATCACACAGAGCCTTCGAACATCAACACTGCATATTTTCACTTCCTGGATCAAACATCGCAGTGACTGACTTTGCACCCTAGCATCCAGCTCGTCAAAGGGTATGCTGTGGTTGACTCTGTGAATCCATGCTATAGCTACCCGAATATCTATCGATATATGGTGGCTCCGGGGTCGCACATCCGGCCATGAGAGCCTCACCCGGGCTGACATTTGGGGCGGGATGGAGGACCGAGTATTTCCTCTTCCTCGTGTTTCTGAGACGGTACGAAAGGCGTGATTGTGGTGACGTGGACAGAAGGGGACCCCTTGACTGAGCTGTTGGTCGTTTTCGGGCAGGTTCATCATCATCATCCAGCAGCATCTGATCGTGGTGGGAAAATAAGTATTCGCCCTCCTTCGGTCGTCCATGGCTATGTGCACAGTCGCCTCCGCTGTGCTCGTCTATGGCCGGCTCGCTTTCGCACCCAACATCAGCCGACATGGTCTCATTTCCTCCATGTAGCTCCCGGTTTCCGGTTAGCTGATCAGACGAAAGCACCCAGTCTTCAATGCGCTCGCCTTTCTTGTAATGTTCCGTATCAATGTGGTCGAAGCGCTCATTCCATGCCTCGAGTCCAGGGCCCAGGGGGACGTCTTTCCGACAGAAGCCACACCAGAATGACGCCCGCCCGTCCCGGGAGATGCGACTATCAGAAAGAGCCGCTCGGACCTCATCTTCCGCATCCATCTCATGTTGTTTCTTGAGGTGCTGGATGTACGTCTGCTGGCGGTAGAACAAACGGGCGCACGGTAGACCCTCTTTGGTAGCGTCCGGTAGTGTACAACGCCAGCTTCTCGAGTGAAAATGCTGTGAGTTTTCATGTCTTTTCCAGTCCTCTTTGCTTCCAAAAGTCTTATTACAGTGCGAGGAGGTACAACTGTATGGACGTTCATGACGCTTCTGGTGTTTTCTGGTATCGCAAAGTCACAAAGTTAGCTGTCGGTTCACGTCCACATTCACCGAGCCTCGAACATACTTCATCTCACAGCGCAATCGCGTCTTCTTGCTGCAGAACTCACACTGAATCCATTTTCTCTGATCGGGATGCACGGCAGAACTTCCTTCCTGAAGTTGATGGCTATGTGGATATGGCTCCGAGCTTTGGTTTAGCATGCCCAAGGCTGTCGTCAGAATTGTTTGCAAGATCTCCCGCTTCAGCTTGACCAACTCGGCCTTCTGCTCCGCGGCACTTTCTGCATCTTCAGAGTGCTGCCCTTGCCGTTGCTGCACAATAGTCATGGATTTAGTCATGGCAGTAATCAAGTTCATGGCTGCTTCAGCTACCATATCATCTCTCTTGCCACCTCGAGATATGTCCGACTGAGCTGCAAAAGTCGTTCGCGGACTTGGTGACCCGTCAAAGCTGAGAGAATTTAGTGGCGGTAGTTCGACCGCCTGTGGACCTCGATGCGCGGATTTAAGAGTGGCATGGCTGAGACTTGGGCGGCTTTGCTCATCCCTGACTGAGTCGGGGGTTATCGTGTCCAGTTCCACCCGAGCCCTTGCGTATGGGAGAGAAGGTGACACTTGAGGATCTTCGGACTTGTTCCGTGACTCGTCAATCATGTCCTCCATCTGCGGACTACTGGCTTCCGAAAGATGATCCATCAACGACGATCCCATCACTTGCGGCTTAAAGCAGTCTTCGTACCACTCCTGGGATCTTCACGGCGGGTTAGCATCGTCGGATATCATTGGCTTCGACACATCGGCACGAGACTCACTTCCTCAGCAGTTCCTCCGCATCTTCATCATTGTGCATCCGAGTAAGGTGCTGGCGGAAGTTATCTAAGCGAGGCCATCTTTTATTCTTGCGAGGACACTTGACTCCAAAGCACATATACACTACTTTGGGCCCGCGTTCTGGTTCTTGCTTATGGACACACTTCTTATGACGTGCCAGGTCGTTGATGGTTCCGAAGCCATCCTTTCGAGTGCACCCTGGCTCATCGCATTTAAACAGCTTTCTGTGTCGGGCTTCATGCTTGCTGGAGGCTGTTAGCTAGCCAGAAACACGTGCGTGGAGTTTGTCAAAGGATCTTACCGCTTATCAGACGGGCATTTCCCAGTCCACTGGCAGTCGGAGTAGTCACACTTGATCGCGTCGGGACCCAGGAGAGATGGAGACTGCATCCGCTCCAATACATCGATTGGATCGCCATAGGAAGCAGTGTTCAGGTCTAGAACTGATAACCGTTCATCCTGCTCTAGCTCGAACGGTGCGGAGTAGGGACTGCAAGCTGAGTCGAGTGCGTAAGATGCGGCCACCGAGCGAGTGGTGCAACTTTGCGTGCTATACCCTGACTCCGATGGATGGAGACTAGCATATTGGCTGTCGGCCTCAGATGGCGTGCTGTAGTGGCCTGTAGAGAGTCTGCGATCGAGGCCAGACCATTGTTGACTTGCCCCCATCGGTGGGCACATGCGAGATCCGGCATGGGTTGGTAGAGCGGTCAC